ATCGTAGTGATCTGGTGTTGGAGGGTGTTCACGGGACATTGTTAGCAACTGTTAGTTCTTAAGCATACTACATGCATGAGTATACAAAATCAACAAACAAGCACCACAAACACACACCAAAGGTAGGCACATGAGGGGGGGGGGTAGCGTATATTTATAGACACATTCTTCGTGGAGTGAAGCTCAGGTGGAACACTTAGAGATGTCACCGCCTCTGCCGGCGTGGAGTTCCCAAGAGTGGGACGACTACGAAAAAAGCGACCCGCCAGGGATAACGGCACCATAGAGTTGTCGATTAGCTCACCTTTCCATGCGGGGTTGCGAATGGATCTTGATGCTTCTTGAGTGCCCCCGATTTTTGGTGAGTATGTCCCGCCGGTTTTTGCGAGCTTGCACGTGACGGGTGCAAAGATTCAGTGTGTTTGTTTAGATGCCTAGGGCCCATGTGGGCTGTGCCGGATGGCAGTGGTGCCCCATGACTTCCGACCTGAACCGAAGTCTGTCAGCATGACCTGAGCCACTCTATGAACGACTTTCCGGTGAGGATGTGTATGGCAAACCCTAAACCCTAAACCCCGAAACCCTAAACCCTACACCCCAACAAACCCAGTGTATGGTTGGGCTTTTTTATTCGAGTGCGAGGGCTCAGCCTCGAAGCGAAGCTGCAGGTTTTTTCCGCCCAGATCCGATCCTCGACCGCGCGGACTGGCCTTGCCTGCACAGGGGGTGGGACCGGGCCAAGGTCACAAGGCTTCTGATATATATATATATATGTATATGTATATATATATAAAATATATATTGAATATATATATATATATATAAGTATTGTTATTATTATGTCCATTTGGGGGAAATCATCAGTAGGCTGGGCTTTGCGGCTGGACTCGAAAAGACTGGCGCAGGAGGAGTTTGACCCGCTGCGGCCGCAAAGTGCTCTGCAGCGTGGAACCCGAAGGGTGCAGCCACCAAGCTGTCGAGGCCGTGAGTTTGAGCACGGCCACCGGTGGCTTGGCAAAAGCTCATTTGTTCTTTGCTGTGTTGCATGTTTGTCGAGGTGTGCACGTTTTAAACCCAGGCTTCCTCCCCATCACCGGATAGCACAGACCCGATGGCACCTTGGCTGCAAAGCCTTTGCTGGTGGAGGGTGTCAGAACTTGGCGTGGAGGATTGAAGCGATGTCACGAGAAAGGACTAATCAGCCGGACGGTGTCAGACATATGGTTACAGCTGAGGCTGCATTTAGTTTCCAGGGTGCTGCGACACCACACCGGATGGTGCAACTTCGAAGTGGACTACCGAGTCTATGGCCCTGGAGTAACACGCAGGCAAGTTGAGAGATGGGAAAGACGACATGGCTCCTTGCCTGTTTATTTTTATGATTTCCCGACCCCACTGATTCCTCCTAAGCCTCATAGCATCTCAACTCTTCCCAGAGTTATAAGGAGATGTGGATACAGTGCGCGCGCGGCGGAGAGAGCTCCGGGAAGCCATCATAGAGGAACGCCGTGCGGAGAAGCTCCGCATCAAGGAGGCTCGGAGATCCGAGGGGCTCAAAGTCCAGGCCCAGGAGAGGCGTCAATGTAAGGAAACAAGAAAACGCCACCGTCCACCACATGCCGCATGGCGGACACCCGAGCATTTCCTCATGGATTCCTTTACCTTGCATGGGCAAGATGACGATTGCGACCGTGCCATGGCAGCGCAGCTGGGCTTGGATGACGAAACCTACCGTCAGCTCAAGTCGCTCGAAGGGCGGGAGATCCGACCGGAAGACTACGATCTGCTCGGAAGGCTCGACGAAAACCTCAAGCGCGAAACATTGGAAGGCAAATGCCTCCATGTCTTCCCGACAGAGGTCTATGAGCTGGGTTCCAAGGAGCCCGCATCTTGCGGTATATGCTTGGACGAGTTTGAGGCCGGAGAAGTTCTTCGAACACTGCTTCCTTGCGGCCATCGATTTCACAGGAGTTGTATCGACCGCTGGCTCACAGAGACGACCCTTGACGCAATGCCGGGTGGGAACTAAGAAGCTAAAGCCATAATAATAACCCCCACACAGCGGCTTTGGCCCGTTATCCATTCTGTCCTGCGGTGTGGTTCGTTGTTCATTTGCGATCGTTGGTCAAGCCGGCATTGGCATACGAACGCAACATAGTCTCTAATGCACGAAAAGCACACGCTTGTCTCCTGACACAGGACGCCGGAATTCAACTACTCTAGATCTGCATGCCAAAACGGTGGTTGCCGACACTCCAGTACACAGCGCAGTTGCTTGTAAACAGTGTGACTTTCGAAACTCATGAGCACGAGTCAAAACCTCGTGTAAGGTCCGCACTTTGCCCTGTGGACAAGATCAACGTCGCTGAGTACCGGGCCTGCCTCGCAAGCTCTGGCGGCGAAGGATTGCCGCGCATCTGCATTGCCCGATATCTATGGTGGTCTGTAGCGTTGAGTAGGTATGATGATGAGACAGGTGAAATTGGAAGACACTAAGGAGTTGACAGCTGTGCTCTTCCCTAGGCTGACGCAGTGAGTCCAAGATTGCTGGACAGTCGGCTCAGCATTTCGGCGTGCTTTTTCAACGAGGGGTCCCCTACTTAGATCGGCATACCTGGAGGCTGGCTGGCCGGGTCATAAGACAATGGGCCACCGGTCTCACCACCAGCAGTTGCAAAGCTGAACCTGAAACAGGGTGGTTCGGATATTCGGGTCGCAGAGGTGGTGAAGCCTGTGAGCTCATTTGACAAGGCTGTCCTCCGTGCAGAGTACAGGTTTCCAGGCTATATCCCCTGGAACTGTTGCGGCCTTGTAAGATGCAACTTAACAAAGTCCGAGGGTCTAGGCTTCCAGGTGACTCAGAGCCTGAATTCTATTGCATGGGCATGCTCGATTGCATGTCTGCAGCAACAACGCTGCCTTGAGTTTCGAGTTCTCAGATTGACCGGCCTCGTTCGCAACTGTCATTTTGGTTCACAAGAAAATTGGGAACATAGCTGTGAGATACTGATTGGGTTCTGAGCAATGAAGATGCCGCTCAGACATCGTTTGGCTTCGTGAACAGAGGCAGGCTCCAGATGCTTTGAGACGGAAAACGAAAAGCGAAAGTCATCTCTCCAGACCTCACCTGTACTAAAGTGGAGTTCTAACGTGGAAGACTGTTTGCCGAGGCACAGGGCCTACTTAGCAAAGCAGCAGCTTAACCGGGAAGCTGCACGACTCTTGCCAGCGCGTCCCTAGCGCGACCACCCACCTACCGACGGCATGCACATCATGAGGGAGTGTTTCGAACAGAGTAAACCGATTGGTCCTGTTTCTTTGCGATAGATCCGTGCTTTTGGATCTTGTGCCCCAAGCCCCAAGTACTCGAACGACTAGACTAGACTACACTTTTCAATTCTACGCAAAATATTTTCTTGCAGCAGCCAAGATGACATTAGTTGCAGAAGCCAAGATGACGTTAGTGTATCTAGTAATTTGCAAACATATCGGGTGCCCCCACGACGTGCTGGCAGTTTGTTCACTGAGCATCTTCTGCAGTTGAAAGTTTTGGGTGATAAGGCATATGTTGTCAGGATTTTATTGGAGGGCGTGCATTTGCGACAGTGACAGGTCGGAACCCCTTCATACAGTTTCACGAAGTAGCCTAGGAGTTCCTGCCGCAGCACTGCAGCCTCCGGCTTACTAATCCATGGTCGCCAGCTGTCGTCTTCATGCCTAAGCTGAAGGCAGGGAATGCGCGCAAGAAGAAAAGGTTGGAGCCGACAACCCAAAGCGGACACTAGCCACAGGCTCACAAGAGTTGCAAAGGACTTGCATTGAAGCCGATGTCAGGCGCGGCTCCCCGCATCCGCCTAGCGAAATGTCCAGTCGCATCGAGTTCCTTGGGATTCTTTGCGTCATAGTTGGAGCCAACTGCTGCTTGGCAAAACCTGGAGTCTCAGATGTCCTCCTGTCCCAAATGTGGTTTAGGGTTTAGGGTTTTGGGTTTAGGGTTTTGGGTTTAGGGTCCTTTACCCACGAAGAAGACGAGTACAACAGCAAAGGTGCTGTCGTGGCGCATTCGACACTTGGCCGAAGACGATGGGCATCACACTGCAAGATCGCATGGCAAGGATATCTCTGTGCAGAACCTTGCACATATGCACTCCGTTGCCAAAGCTGAGAACCATGAAGCACTGAACTAGTGGATAGAGTGGTTGTAGGCCAAATGCAGGGAAAGCAAGAGGTAGAGCTCTTTGCTGACTTTGGCTCTGCGGAAGGAAGGTTTTTTGCCCCCCAACAGCAACTAGCGCGTAGCCGCAACCCCTCGCACCCACCGAAGGGAAAGTATAGAGGTAGCGTGAGTCCAGCACAGCCGCAGAGTAGGTCCCGCTCCTGCACTCATGCAGACTCCCGCATCAGTGAATTAGTCAGAGACATGCGATGGTATCATGACATGAGGTTCGTAAGGCTCCTGAAGGGAGTCCCACTTCTCGATGCATCTTGGCATGGCCTTAACTGACAGTCAAAGAGTCCTTGGCGAGGTTAGGAAACTGACCCAACTGCATGGCTTTGTCAAGTGGAGTCAAAGACCAGAACTGGACTGTTCTTTCCATTGGGTGGATCCTTGCTCCGTCCGAGGTGATGCAGGTCCGCTTCGGGTTGCAATGCTGTGTTATGACCTTCGTCGTGTCAGTGCTGCGCTGGAAAGGTCTGGAGCCCAGCCGAGACATCAAGTCATCGTAACTTAACTTCTGTGCCTACCTCCAGGCCACAATCTTCGTTTTTTCGGCGTTCCTGGACAGCAGAGACATGGCTGCAATGCGCCTTCCAGGTTTTCATGCCCTAAATTCATCAATCACGGAGCTTCTTTCGGTTCTAAGCCTACGTTAGAGATCCTTCAAGAGCCGACAGGGGCCGTTCAGCAGCTTCAGACTGCCTGAGTCCCCAGCACGAAGCACAGACCCGACGTAGCACATTCTACCGTCAATGCCATGGCCCCCTGGCCTTGGCATGAACAATCAGTCGTCCATGTGAGCTCCACTATGGAGAAAGACCTTGCTTCTCCCACCACCAGACAACAAACACAAACGGGTATGTGTGCTTTTTAGGGCTTTTTGCTGTTGATTTGTTATGTGTTTTGAGTTGTGAGTTTTCTATGCTTTGACTTTGTATCCCGTTCTGCCTTCCGTCCCTGTCTGCTTGTTTGTGTTTTTGCTTCTCTGCTTTTCTGCTTCGCTCTTCTGCTCCTCCGCTTGGCTGCTTCTTTTCTTCCACCCACACCCTTCCGGTCTCGTCCTGCTCCGCTTTTCTAAGCCGCAGCAGCCTCGCGCCCATAGTTCTAAGGCCTCTCAGCAGTTTAGTGTTGCTCTGCTAGGACGTCGGACATTTAAAGCGTCTTGAAGACAAAATGACAGTCTTTTCGATGAAGTCTGCCTCCCACGACCAGCTTGGGACTTTGGGAGTAGCGCGGTTTTACGGGAGAGTGTGCACATCTGAAGGTCCTTGTCTTCGGCCTTCGGATTTGTATAAGCCGGCCTTAAGATGTAAAACATTGTAAAACAATGAAGGGCTGCGGCTCAAGCTCTAGCCATCCTTCAGCAGAGAAGTCGCTTTAACCAGGGCTCGGGTTTCAGGCTGCCGGATGATTTAGGGTTCATTGTTCCCCAGGGCGCTCTTCCTGAAAACCTGTAGCCGGGGCTTAGGGAAAGTTCAGGGTATGGGCTGCACGGCCTCCCGTTACAAAGCAATGGCTGCTGGCAGCAGCCCCATTGAGATCACGGTGCTGAACCTGGGAGGAGGTGAGATTGCAAAGCTGACTGCAGAGCCCGATGTTACGATGAAGGCACTGAAGGAGGAGCTTGCTCGCAAGATCCGACTGCCAGGGCTGCGGCAGTCTCTGACTTACAACGACCGCGTGCTGCAAGACACGGAGACTGGCTCGGCCCTGGGGTGGAGTGGAGCTGTCTCGATCTACATGATTGCAAAAAGTGTGGATTTGGATGGTCACATTACTTGCCTCAGGCGCCAGGAAAAGCCCGAAGCAAAGGCTGGTCTGCCGGAGATAGAGATCCGGATCCTATGTGATCTCGTGGAGGAAATCTTCATGAGGGAGCCTGTTCTCTTGGAACTAGAGCCCCCCCTGGTTGTTGGTGGTACCCTGGCCTCCTCCGTCGGCCAGCTGAACGCGATCATCGAGAGGTGCGGCGAGCCAGGAGAAGTGCAGTACCTCTTTCTTGGCAACTACCTTAGCAAAGGTCGGATGCCCATACACGGGGTGGATCTTCTGACACTCCTTTATTGCTTCAAGTGCCGGCATCCGTCCAATGTGTTTCCACTCCGCGGCAAGCAGGAATGTGCAAGCATCAGTCGAGTTTACGGCTTCTACGACGAGTGCAAGCGCCGGTACAATTTCAAACTGTGGAAGCGGATGATTCAAACCATGAACTGCATGCCGATCTGTGCATTGATTCGAAGTCAGATTTTCTGTGTCTCGTCAGGTCTTTCGCCCGAACTTCTCACACTGGACCAGCTCGGCAAGATCGGCCCACAGAGGTCCCAGACACGGGACTTCTTTGCGACCTCCTGTGGGATCCACTGACGGGTGTGAGAGGATGGGCGGAGATGGACAAAGGTGTCTCCTACGTGTTTGGGGAGGACATCGTGCACGGTTTCCTGGAACGGAACAATCTAGACTTGATCTGTCGAACCAGTCAAGTGGTTGAAGGAGGCTATGAGTACTTTGCGGATCGGAAGCTTGTGACTCTGTTCAGCTGCGCCAACTACGTCGGCGAGTTCGACAACACAGCTGCTGTCATGCTCGTGGATGCAGAGATGCAGCACACCTTCGTGACCTACCGTTGACTGAGCTCTTGCATAGAGACTCCAGACATATCACGTTTACCCTTCGTGCCTTTTTGTACAAAATGCTTAGTATGTACTTTGAATCTGGTGGTGTCCTTCGTAAGAGTCCAGTCGAAGTCCGATTTGCTCGAGATGTGCATGCCGAGCACACCCGCCCCCAAAGTGCATCAAAAAGCCATGGCACCGTTTTGCATGGGTTTGCGACCTAAGTTTCTCGGTAGGTCAGCACTCCAATTGTGTTTGGGGCCTGCCCTGAACTGCTGCACCTTGTCAAATGTTGAAAGTCGAGCGATTTGCAAGGGTCCCTCAGCTCATGTCATGTCCACATTTTATGCAACTGCTGCGCTGCTACCGCTACTACTACTGGTACTACTACTGACACTCCTACTCCTACTGCTACTGCTACTGCTACTTACTACTACTGACTACCTGACTACTACTACCTACTACTACTACTACTACTACTACTACTACTACTACTACTACTAGCAACCACTGGCGCCATTCGGGCTGGGCA